CACAACTATAATTTATATATATGGACACAAAATTGTATATTCTTTCTACAAAGATATACTTCTAAGACTTTACTTATACATTACTTATAACAAAATATATGCAATACAGAAAAAATAGACTAGCATAACTCTATTTTAAATATTAATATATTAAACTTTTATATTTAGAAAATAAACTATATATTTTTTATGTAAAAGAAAATGACTAAAACATCCCTAACCATCTACATCAACAAAAAATAAATTCATTACAAACTCAACATGTAAGAAAAACTAATATGGTTTTTTTGGTTAAAAAACTCCTTTAAAAATAATATAATAAATATTATTAATTTAATTATAAAGACTCATAAAAATATATGTATGGTTTAAAAAAATATATAACCTAAATTATAAGCAAAATACAAATGTACATTTTTTCACTTTTTGAGTTTTAAGAAACTTGACATACTTTGTTTAACATAATGAGTTAGTATAAAATTATATTTATATATGTATTACTTGCTTTATTCATCTACATTTCTATAGTTTACATATACTTCAGGAACCAAATAAAAATTACAGTTTATCAATATGATTGTGATTTTGTATACTTACTATGTAAATGTTGCTTTTATTGATATAAAAATAGTTATTTTATGGATTTGTAAGAGTTTAGAACATTGATTGTTGTTTTGTATTGGAGGCTGCTAATGAAATAAAAACATTACACTAACACAATTGAAAGAAAAAAAAATCCATATTAATTGGAACAGTAACCAGATGCTCCAGTTGTACTCATATGTTTACTATGTTGTTTTCTTTTTTTTTATTTAAAATTACAAATTACTTTAAATTAAATAAAACAAAAACTTATAGTTGTTGGATTCAATTATATATGAAATTTAATTAAAAAAATATTTTTAATAATATTTTGAAAATTAGTGAACAACAATGAGTTTATATACAAATATTAAGTTTTAGATTAACAATTAATTTTCATATATATAAAGTTAGTAAATTCTTAAATTAAATCATAATGTATTTTCGAAAAAATAACATATACATTTTTATGTAAAAGAAAATGTCTAAAAATATCTTTAACCATTCACATCAACAAAAAAATAAATTCCTTATAAACCTAGCTTGTAAGGAAAACTAATATGGTTTTTTTTTATTGGGTTAAGAAAATTATTTACAAATGATATAATATATATTATTAGTTTAATTATAAAGGCTCATCAAAATATATGTGTAGTTTAAGAAAAATATATAAGTTAATTTACAAGTCAAATGCAAATCAACCGTTTACATCTTTTGAGTTTTGAGTTTTGAGAAACTTGACATAGTTTATTTAACAGAATGAATTAGAATGAAATTGTATTTGTATATGTATTATTTGTTATATTCATCTACATTTCTATAATTAACATATGCTTGAGAGACCAAGTCAAAATTGCAGTTTATCAATATGATTGTGATTTTATATACTATGTAAATGTTGTTTTTATTTATATTAATAATAGTTATTTTACAGATTTGTAAGAGTTTGGAATATTGAGTTTTATTTTGTATTTGAGACTGCTAATGCAATAAAAATACTAAACCAACACAAATGAAATGAAAAAAAAATCCAAATTAATTGGAACAATAATAATTAAATTTAGTTAAAACAAAAATAATTTATATTATATTTTGAAAATTAGTGAATAATAGTGAGTTTATATACAAATATTAAGTTTTAGATTAACAATTAATTTTCACATATAACAAGTAGGTAAATTCTTAAATTAAATCATAATACATTTTTGATTACGTTAAAAAACTTTCGATGTATAACCATATCAAAACAATATTAAAAATCAAATATTATATTTAAAATATTAATTTGAAATTAAAATAAGTTAACTTAAATAATAATCAAATATCTATATAAAAACAATCTGCGCGTAGCACGAAAACATTCCTAGTACTAAATAAAAGGAACTATTTGGGGCTCCTTAAGCTATCCACCTCAGCTTTTCAAACTACTCTAAAAATTTGACACATCAGCAAAAAATAATAATACAAATTCCCACTTTAGCAAAAAATAATAATACAAATTCCCACTTTAAATTCTCACTTCGCTATATCAAAGGTACGATCGACTTTAGCTTGTATTACTCTATTTCTGATGATTACAAGCTTGTTGGATATAGCGATAGCGACTGTGGTGGAGACGTAGATGATCGGAAAAGCACAAGTGGTTTTGTGTTTTTCATTGGAGAAACAGCTTTCACATGGATGTCGAAGAAGCAACCGATTGTCACTCTTTCCACTTGTGAAGCGGAGTATGTAGCGGCTACTTCATGTGTTTGCCATGCTATTTGGTTATGAAACTTATTAAAGGAGTTGAGTTTGTCACAAGAGGAGCCGACAGAGATCTTGGTGGACAACAAGTCAGCAATAGCTTTGGCAAAGAATCCCGTCTTCCATGATCGAAGTAAGCACATCGACACTCGCTATCATTACATTAGAGAATGTGTCACCAAGATGGATGTGCAGTTGGAGTACGTGAAGACTAACAATCAAGTAGCCGACATCTTTACCAAGCCACTCAAGCGTGGAGCCTTTATCAAGATGAGGAGTTTGCTTGGAGTAGCAAAATCAAGTTTAAGAGGGGGTGTTGAAAGTTAAACTGGATCAAGTTTAAATATTGGATCATTGATCCAATAATATTTGGGCTAAACCCAATAAGAAGTGATTCAAATTCTAGAGTTTTCTCTAGAAAAAATCTAATATCTCCACCTCCTTAAAATGTTCTAGAAAGATATAAAGAATAAAAATCTAGCGATAGTTCTAGATAATTGTAATAAAATAATCTAGATATTAAGATAGAATAATCTAGATTTAGGATTAAAATACTTTAGATATTTTGTACTTTGGAAACTATAAATAGCTATCTCCTCTCTCATTTGTAACCATGAAATAAAGAGAAATATTAAGAGAAGTTAATTAAATTTTCTAAGTCCTCTAAGTTCTAAAACTTTCTTCTTCTTAAATTTGTTCATTTGTCTTTCAAGTTCTTAAACACCTTCTCCACCACTCTTAAAAGTTCTTTCTTTCCAACAGAAGCATTAAGAAAAAGTATTCAGACCGCCTTTTCAGGCTTGTTCCGTCATGCGGTGTTTCTCTTCTTCCGCCGTGAGGTAGGGTCCTTCGTTCGCACCGCGTCTAATGCGCGGAGTAACATACCCTTATTGAGAGTTTGGATACGTACCTGGGGCACCTGGCTCCATCGCTCCCCTTAAATATCCCTAACCCTTCATTTTGTTTTGTTTGGCTTTAGGTTTTTTACTTTTCGAATTTGGTCTCACAGTGAGCGTCTTAAGGTCTTATCTCTCTCTATACGTGAATATGAGATCCACCTATTCCCCCATTTAATTGTACTACAGTCCCTGTAGGTTTTGTAATTTTCGAATTGGGTCACATAGTTTTATTAATATCCATTGGGACATACATATACCGAAAACAATTCTAGTTTTGTTTTGAAAAGATAAAAACAAAACCTTTTGAATTTAAGATTTTCAGTTATTAGAATATTAAATTTGTGCATGATCAAAGTTGGCTCTTAATTTTTTTTTAAGGGTAATGTTATGATTATCTATTCACTTTTTTCAACAAAATAATTTATATCATCTTAACTGGGATAAAATATAGTCATTGCATCGAAGCAGGCCCGACGACTTAAATGACAGGCAGACTAAGGATCCTTGAAAGGTATAATGTAAAGGTATAAAGTTGTGTTTATCAGTCTTATTAACAAAGTATATTCTACTGGCAATGTTCCATGACACTGTTTAAGATGAAAGTTGTAAAGATTATCATCTAATTATACTATAATATAAAAATTATAGCTCTAAACCTAATCTAGTTCTAATTATTTTGTTTTATTGATTTTTAAATTGTTTGTTGTGTCATTTGGCTATTATATGGTAAATTTCATTTACTGATATACGCATGTTTAAGGTTGAAGATTTGATCATGTTGAACAAAAATTAGATAAAGCAAAACTTATGGTTTTGTCGACAACGAACGGCCTTGTGGATTTATGCTCACCATGAATTTGATGTTAAAAAAAGGGGTTGGTACATTCTTTTACTTTTATATATATTTTTAATGTTTTTGTAAGAAATATGGCTTCTATTTTCATAGGAACTAAGACCAATCCCAATGGTGATACTAAGGGGTCTAATGAAGAGTGTCTAATATTATAACTGAATATAATAACATAACCCCAATGATGACACTAAGGAGAACTAAGACCAACCTCAATGGTGACATCAAGTTTCGTGAGAAATTTGATTCGTCTCATATTTTTTTATTATTATTATAACTTAAAGAATCCTTTTCGATTAATCCTTGTGGAAGTGTAACCTACGGATATATATGTCAATTGGATTGGCTTGGCCCAGCTCGGCCTGCAACTCGTAAAACCAGAATATATTTAGGTCCAGTTCGGTCTGATCCAAAAAATTATCAGATCTAAATTATGAAGTCCACCTTGGCCCTAACAGAGTTATAGGGGTTTTTTAGGTTTTTCAGACTTTTTAATGTATTTTTTATTATATATAATTTTTTATTTATTAGAAAATAATGAAACTGTATAATTATATTTAAAATTTATGATATTATATATAATTTACGGATCACAACAGATATCAAAACTAACGGATATCAAAACTTTTTGAAATTAGTATTTTCGATTTGATTTATTTTAGACGGATATTATATTTTAATATTTGTTTTGCTTTGAATTGTTACAGATATCCGGATTTATCAGATCGAATCGATGCAAATAACGAATCGAATCAAAGATGTATCTGGACCAGGCTTCGGCCTAATAAAGACTATTCAGTAGGAGAATGCGAAGAGTAACGGATCCTAGCTCATCTAATTGTCTTCGAAATTTGCAGCAAGCCAAAAATATATATGATTGACTACTTAGTTAGGTGTCACATTGATTAAAATTCCAATCCAAATTAGCATAAACACGAATCCAAATATAGTTCAATAACGATGTAGATAAATATTAAACAACCGACATTACAAAATTACACATCCATAAGATGTTCATTTCGTAACAACATGAGCTAAAATTAAGCAGTTCTAAATAGATAGAGAAAGGTCAAGAGGAGCTTCACTCACTTCTCAATCCTGCCCATTTGAAAGCTGCTAGGGTCAATCTGCAGAGTATGACCGACAAAAATACAACAAATCAATGCAAGGTTCTTCTAACATCCACTTAAAGTGAAATCATCAATCAAAGTAGAGACTGGATCTTTCATATACCTTTTTTCACATCTTCCTCGTTTTTCACACCTTCGTCGGAGCCTTCTTCACTGTTGCCTGCCAAAACAATCCACAAATAATATAAAAGGTCAAGAAACGGACATACTAACCATTTTCAATCTCAGAAGAAACAAATCAATCCAAGATTCCAACATACACTTAAAAGTAAAATCTTTCATATACCTTCTTCACTCACATCTTCCTCGGAGTCGGAGCTCTCTTCATCGCTGCTATCTGTCAAACAATCCACAAATAATAACTATAATCAATCCCAAGATAAAAGTAAAGACAAAGTTCGCAAGATATACACATCGAGAGACAGATATACTCTACAATGAATCACTTATGCTTTTGTTATGACAGATACACTCTTCAATTAATCACTTATGCTTCTGCTATGAGATTGACCCCACGTACCTTCTGGATCAGGTTTTGGCCTAACAAAGACATATTCAGTGGGATAATGTGTAGAGTAATGGATCCTAGCTTGGTAGGTCTTTTTCTCCTTATCAGTGTGATCAAAGACTTTGAACGTGATGAGAAACATATACCCATTACAAAAGTAATAATTGGCTTTCTCAACCTCAAGAAATTGAATTCTCGTACCCTGTTCCAAACAAGGGAAACGTTAACAAGTAGACAAAAGCAAATAAAGAGAGCTCATAGACTAGTTTAGTTTAGCTTTGACCTTCTCTTTATTGTATTGCTTGACGGATTCTTTGGTAAGAATCCTCATTAAAACCTCGTTAGTGCCTGGCTCGTCAAGGAAGTCATGATCATCTGGATCAACCAGATGGTAGTTGAACAGACAGCGGAACTTCGAGAAATCAATATCGAACCCCTTTTCATTCACAAACCCAAAAAAAATCAAAATTTAAAACTGATTAATTGATGAAATTAACTTGCCAAAATCAAAAAAATATATAAAAAACCTCGCTTTCCCTGATTTGTCTGTTTATCTCTTTGATTTCTTCATCCTGTGTGAGATGAGGAATGTTATCCTCGGGTTTTGGGATATAGTGATGCTTCAAGCACTCAGGATCTCCAGCTGGTTTTACTACATATGCATGTTCGACCCAAGACCTCCAGCCAGAGAGAACTATAACAAAATCGGAAGAATGTACAAAGCCTAGAGATTTGAGAAGCGAATTGGATACAAGCACTAGAGATTTCAGAAACGAATTGGATACTTACCTTCGCACTCATCACGCATGCCTCCTTACAAATCAAATGACAAAACCCTAACTCCTGTCCACTGCCCTTATATTTTTTATAAATAGGTATTTCTCGCTAATTTCACTCGAGCCCCTATAAATTTCTTGCTCTTCGCATTTTTCCACACAGTTTAAGTTAAGCGTTAATATTTTAGAGGAATATGATTGTTAGATTCTGACAATATTGTCGGTTCCATGGTTCCTTAAACCCTTGAATTTTTATTTATTTATATAATTTTCTAAAAAAGAGTACATTACAAGTTTTTGAACAATGAGAGAAAACTCTCCTGTTTACCAAAAAAAAATGAGAGAAAACTCTCCTTGTAGGCTTGTAGCATATATAGAAACTCCTACTCCACTCTGCAAAGATCAAAATAGAGAATCAACCATACAAGAATGTAAAATCATCAAAGTAGTAAAAGACCCTTGATAGATTAATAGATTTTCTGTTACCTTTTATTTCTTGATAACTTTCTCGACATATGTATTGGCAGTCCCAAAGTATTCTACTATCAACACAAATCCATATACAATAAATTTCAAGAATCAACCATTTTCAACAGAAAATATACAAAGATGTTAGCTCACAAGCTAAATCCATATTTCACAGAAATAAAAGTATCTTACGTACCTGTTTGATTGGGTTTTGGCCTGCAAAAGACGTACTCAGTTGAAGAATCTAGAAGGATGTGCCGTAGCCTTGCTTGGAAGGGTTTTGTCACATCATCATAAGGATCAACAACTTCAAATGTTATGAGAAACATTAACGCAGCACCAGAGACGTGAAAATTGGCTTTTTCAACCTTGACAAACTTAAATTCTGTCTTCTGTTTATTTTTTAACAAAGAAAGGAAGAAACACATTCATCAGATATAAATAAGCACATCTAGATATTTGAAAGCACACAAGGCATAATAAATAAGACTGATTAGCTCTCACATTTAATTTGTTGTAGTCATCAAGAGAATTCTGAGCGAGCTTCTTGAGTAAATCCCCATCGGTTTCTGGCTCCTCCGCGATTTCGCATGAATCGAGATAAGCACTGTGGTAGTTGAAAACGCAGCGGTAGTATGAGAAATCGATGTCAAAACCCTGTTTCACATACAATACCAAACCCCTCAATATTTAAAGTTGATTGATTATACATCTAACCAATTAAAGGCATAAGAAAAGAAAAAAACATACATCGCTCTCAGTGATTTCTTTGCGTATTCTGTCAATCTCTTCCTCTATTGTGTACTTAGCCTTTTCAGGATCGTACCGAGGTCTCTGATATTCAGAATCCTCAGGATCACACAGCAAATACACAGATTCGAGCCATCGATTCCAGTCTGAAGAGACATGAAATAGAAATCGATCTCTGGAGAGAGTAGGTTATTAACTCGCAATTGTGGAGAGAAACGAGTTTCGAATCGTACCTTCAAATTCACACATCGCCTCTTTACGAATAAAAAAAAATCGCCTTTCGTTGATGAGCAGATGAAGAAGCCCTAACTTTGTTTTTAACTTTTTTTGGAACCCTAAATAATATACGAACTATTTTCTATTTATTTCAGTCTATCTAATAAGTTTCATGCTCTTCGTTTTCTGGCATCGTATTGTTAATACTACTCCGTCAAATTAACGATACAATAAATGAATAAATAGTGCCTAACAATTGTAGCATGAATAAAGAAATTGATGTGAATCAAGATCAGGAAGATGGGAGAACTGATACAATCTAGGGGAATCTTTTGTTTTTCCGACATCTATTTTAATCAGTTCCTAAATAATATACGAACTATTTTCTATTTATTTCAGTCCGTCTAATAAGCTTCATGCTTTTCGCTTTCTGGCCTCGTGTTTTTTTTTGTTAATACAGTACTAACTCCGTCGAATTAACGATACAATAAATGAATAAAAAGTGGCTAAGAGCATTTCCAACTTTATTTCACTATAACTTTAGTGATGACCTTTGGCCTAAATCCTCATGTTCTCTTCTTTTCGACTGCTCTCACGTGGTCCTGGTGCTCGGTCACATCTCCGACAGCGTCTAAGTTTAATCAGGCACCTCATTGCTTAAACGACAATCTACTTCATTTGGAAGGAGAATTATAGGAATATCTTTGCCTCCGCGGTAAGAAAGGAGGAAACTCATGAACTTTTTTTTTTTAACACCTAATTGATTATATTAAAATTTAAATCCGAATAGTTTTAGATGAATACAATCCGAAACTAACTCAAATGAGCAGTAAAAGTAGAGCTGTGCAATACAACGATAGATACATTGAGGGGCGAGACTAAACTCATAGAAAAACTTCATCCGTAACTCGAAAGCAGTTGAGCATCACATAGTCGAAAAGTGAACCGACTTTAAAGCCCCCAAAAGATTGGGCTTGAGAACAGGTTTAAAACACTGTCATGAGAGGTTTGAGAACAGGTTTGCCCTTTCAACGTTAACTTAAGATACAAATACTAATTTTTATTAATTCCCAAAAACGTTTTTTCTTCTTTTGTTAATATCCCTAAACAAAATGGAAGCATCTCTTACCTTGTGCATGTAAAAGCTCCTATTAACGTCTGCGAATAAAAAAAAAATTCATCTAAGATTCTCACATCAAACATTAAGGTTTCTCGACATTTTCCTCGGTAACTCCAACGGTATCTTTGTCGGTAGAAACTGCCAAAAAAAATCCAAAATACCATACGTTTCAAGTGACAAGCAGTTTCAAAACAGATAAAAAGAGAAGTTAATAAACTCTAGAGATAAATCGTTTTATATGCTTTTCTACGAAACTATGATGGATTCTAAAAATCTGCCTAATTTATGGAAAAGAAACAGTACCTTCTTCTTGATTGGGTTTTGGCCTACAATAGACATAGTCGTGCTCGTAAAAAAAAGAGTAAAGAACCCTAGCTTGAAACTCTTTTGTCATGTTATCAGCAGGATCCTTCACTTCAAATGTTATGAGAAACATTAATCTTGACATGTGAAAATTGGCATGATCAATCTTGACAAATTCATATTCCGTCCTCTGTTTGAAACAAAAAAAAAAGAGATAAAAACTCCCATTGGAATTGGATCACAAGAACATAAAAGCAGAGGCATTGATATAAGACGAGTTCTCTCACGTTTTCTTGGTTGTAGATCTCAAGGGATTTCTGAGTCAGCCTCTTGAGTAACTCCTCATTGGATTTCTCCTCAACAAATTTACGATCGAATCCAACAAATTCATTTTTTTATAACATAACAGGATGGTAGTTGAAAAGGCAGCGGAAGAAGTTGCAATCAATATCGAACCCCTACATATTTACATGAAATAATCAACTCAGTTTCACAAATTTAAAAGTTGTATTGGTAACATAAAACCAAAACCCTAATATATATAAAATAACAAAAAAAAACTTGGCTCGCATTTATTTGTTCGTTTATCAGATCAATTTCTTGAGTCTTAAAGAGTAGACAAATCACAATTCAGACGATACGAACTAAAAAACAACAATTTAGAGATAGAGAGATAGTAAATAACTAGGAGCCGTCGACTTCTGAGGCATCCCCATAAAAGCTCCTACTCCAGTCTGAAAATAACAAAGGAATAATATCTAAGAGATCTCACATCAAACACTAATGAAAAGATGCAAATAAGACCGGGAAGATAATATACCTTGGTTTCTTGGCACTCGCTTCAGCATCTCCAACGCTATCTGCACCGGACGAAACTGCCAAAACAATTCAAAATACCCGTAAGTCTCAAGTATACTCCAGAGAGATAACATCGTTTCATAAGCTTTTGTAGGGAAACTATGACGGGTTCCAAAGAAAGAGTACCTTCTTGATTAGGTTTTGGCCTACAAAAGACATACTCGTGCTCGTAAAAGAAAGAGTAAAGAACCCTAGCTTGGAACATTTTGATCAGCTTATCAGCAGGATCCTTCACTTGAAATGTTATGAGAAACATCACCCCAGAAGACAAGTGGAAATTGGCATGATCAATCTTGACAAATTCATATTCTGTCTTCTGTTTGAAACCAAAGAAAAAGAAAGAGATAAAAAAACCAGGCTCTTGTTGATCTGTTCGTTCATCAGATCAATTTCTTCATCTGTTGTGAGCCAAGGCTCATCTTTCTCGGTTTTTGTGATGTACGGAGGTCTAATCCAGGGCTCTTCCTCATCAGGTGAATGTACCAAAAACGCATCTTCGACAAACCAAGTCCAACCTTATAATACAGATAATTAAAATCAGGATTTCGATATATCGATACAGAAATATTCTTTAAATCTTATTTGGATTCGTACCATCGAAGTCTTCACCCATCGCTCCTCTCGAATAAGCGGCTGAAGAACCTAATTTTTGGAAAAAGTGACTTTATCCCTTGAAGTTTGCAGAAATTATTACGCATTATATTCAAGTCCCTTGAAATTTCTTGCTCTTTGTCTTTTGCCTCGTAGTTTCACAATTAATTCCCATTGGGCACTGGGAATTTAAATATATACTTTTAGTAAAAAATACCTATTGACAAAATTTATTGGTAAAACACTAAAACTTATTGTTAAAGAGTTGATTTCTTTTAACTTTTTTAATATTACGTTTTACCATCTATATGAGAGAACAAATCATGGCATGGTCTTTGCTGATTCTCCTTAGCTAGAAGTTGTTTTTTTTTTATCTTAACAGACACCAGAAATGCAACGCGTAGTCATATCTTTTTTGAGTTGCACCTACAACAATGAAATAAAATGGATCAATTGAGAAATTTATTGGTAAAACACTAAAACTTATTGTTAAAGAGATGATTTCTTTCAACTTTTGAAGTAGTCAAAAGTTTGGACTCAAAATAAAATTCTTTATACATATTTGGGTCTGCTGGTTCTTAAATTCGTTATACATATTCTTAAATTAGTAGCAGAGATGATTTCTTTCAACTTTTAATAGTTAGTTTTTCAAACTCCCCTCTCCTCTTTATTTTTGAGAAACACAATAGTGACAGTGAGTGACAATACTTAATTCACTCGTAGATGAAGTATTCAATCGACCCTTTCTTTATAGATGTGTTGAGTTACATCGAGTGGTGGTTGTTGCAGATTATTACGAACTAGTATAGCACAGGCATTGATATCTAATTAGAAAAAAAAATATGAAATTGATAAAAGATATCTAACGAATTCACAAATATATTTATTTAGAAATGTATTTTGGTCAATTTACTAATTAAGATTGGTACAAAAAACCTAAAAGGTCTAATACATCAAAGAAGATGGAAATAAATACTCGTGTTTTACTATGAACCACAAACTAAAAGATCTAGATTGTTTTACCGATTTCAACAAATCTGAGGTGTACATCCATCGTTTGGAGAAGGATATTGTTCCATCAAATCAATTAAAAATAAATATGTGCTTTTAGTGATATGCTTGGAAATTCGGCAGTGTTTCTATGGTTATTTCGCTTATTAGTTTTGTATGTGCATTTTTGGTTTTGATTTGACCTTCTCTTTTTAATCATGAACTAGGATGCGCAGGTAATTTAAAAAAAAAAAATTAGAAAATATTGGTTTTGTAATTACAATTTTAAAATGTGATTTTATAGTCTACGCATGTAAAGTTTTCTTTATACATTAATTTTAAAAATATTGATTTTATAAATACAATTTTAAAATATAATCTTATTATTTTACAACATTATAATCAAAATAGTTAATCTACAAATAATGCTAAGATGTTATAAAATACGATTGATTATCTTTTTGTTAACTGTATTCATGTTTTTTAGTCAAAAGAATTATACAATAAAAGTGTATTTGATTTAATAAGAAGATAATATATTAATATTTTTTCTTTTTTTTATCTTATTCATTATTATTTTTTTGTTGTTTTTCTTTTTCTTTTTCTAAATCTTGTTCTTCTTCTTTTTTTCTTCTTCATCTTCTTCTTATTTTTTTCTATTTTTCTTTTAAGTTCTTCTTGTACATTATTTTTTTCCATTTTTCCATTTTTCATATTTTTAATAATTTTTTTCTCTTTTTTTTCTCTTTTTATTCTCTATTATTTTTTCTTTATTCTTTTTTTTTCTTCCTTATTTTTTTTTCGTTCTTTTTCTGTAATTTTTTTTGTGCTTCTTCATTTTGTTTGTTTTTTATTTTGATTTTTTCTCTGTTTTTATTTTCTTTTCTTCTCCTTTTTTATTTTTTTTTCTTCTCTAATATTATTCTTTATTTTGTTTTCTTTGAATTTAGCAAAACAAAATCGAAATGAAAATTTCTTATATTAAATAATTAATATTGTATAAATAATTGTTTTTTTTTAGAGTTTTTCGGTAAAACAAAATTTAGACTCTAAAAATATTATTTTTAAATTTTATTTTTGAATTTTCTATATATATTGTTATAAATTTCGAACTAAAAACAAAGAAAATAAGATAGTTCTAAATTTTTAAACAAAAATGGGCCTTTTAATAAGAAGGAAAACAAAATATTAAGCCTATAATGAGAAAAATAACAAAAAATTAGGCTTTTGATAATTTAATGAGAAGATTAGATTTAATAAACTTTTATATACTAATGAAAGTCCAATGGCTTATTACGTAAATAACACATCAAGTAAATGTTAGTCTTCTAAAGTGGATTCTCTTTTAATATAATAGACTAGATTTTGGACTCGTGCACTTGCGCAGATTTTTTTTTATAAAATATTTTTGGGTCATAGCAAAAATCGGTTTATAGTAAAATTTTATTCAAAAGAAAAATTAGCTTATATTATTAAATCTAAAATTGTGGCTCAAACGGAATTTTTTATTAGCTTATATAAACTATTTTAACATTATCTTTTTAGGTTCTTAAAATTATTTAAGCTTGATTTTATTAAATAAAATATTTTGATTAGCGGACTTTTTGTTAAGATTTGTAATAAATATATTAAAATATTATGTTTTATAATGTAAGAGAGATTTTATTTGTTTGTAATTAAGATTCTTAGGCTTTGTTTGTTTTTGCCTCCAAATACTTATTTGGATGTAAATGCTCTCAAATATTGTTCTTTTAAATATTTTTAAATCAGTATATGGATATTTTATCTGAATACTAATTTTATAATATTTCAAAATTTAGATATTTAAAATGCTAAAAAATAGAGATTTGATGCAGCATTTGAATCTCGAAAATTAACAGATAAAAACATCCTTTAATTTAAACCACAAAATCAAGTTTTTTTTGTCAAAATCATTTGTCTATCGAAATAAAAAATCGCATTTTCCCGCAAAATCGTAAAATCACGTTGTTATACCAAAATCAAAAACTCTGGTAGAAACTGTAAAAATAGCATTTTCCATCAAACCGTATTTTTCTGCCAAAACTGTAAACCCACATTTTTTAACAAAACAAAAAATTATTTTTTCCCAACACCATTAAATTGTATTATATGGCTAAATTTCTAAAATTAAGTATTTTTTTGTCAAACTTGCAAAATTGCATTTTGTCGTTAAACCCGCAAGCCTGCATTTTCAATAAAATCCATAAAACCACATTTTCCAACAAAACCTATAAAACCTGCAAAAACATGTAAACCTCGTAAAATCCGCAAAATCACGTTTCCCGTCAAATCCACAAAAACCCGTGTTTTTCCGTAATTTTATAAAATCCATAAAATTGTGTTTTACGACCAAATTTTTAAACTCATGTGTTTCTGCCAAACTCACAAATCCGCATTTCATGTATGACTACATTTTCTAGTTAAAACCTGTAAAACCCATAAAATCCGCAAAAATATGATTTACGACCAAATTTCAAAAATTATGTGTTTCTGTTAAATCTACAAAAAACACATTTGTTGTCAAACCGGCATTTTCTCGGAAAACTATATTTTTCACTAAAATTTATAAAATCCGTAAAAATCTACAAAATTGTGTCTGTCAAATTCGCAAACCCATAATTTCCCGCAAAAAAATCATTAACAAAACAGAAAAATTAAATTATTTACATAATATTTTTTCCATAGTATGTATATATGTAACCAAAAATAATGATAATATATTCATTATTGACTATAAATTATCATATTTAGTAAATACCATAATATTTTTTAGACATTTTAATGTAGTGCTTTTCTTTTAATACTATAGAAAAGAAATTGATTATAATATAATATATATTTAACCTATCATATAATATATAATTATATTAATTATCCATGTCAAATATATGTGGTAGTTATGTTAAGATATTATGAAAGATTTTAAAATAATTTCAAAATTAAATTAATTTGAATTTTATTAGTATCATATATGATTTATTGGTATTATCTGTTAACAAACTAATTTAATTTAATTTAATTTAATGTATTTATTAACAGTTTAATGATAAGACTAAATTACCTTTAATGAATTTATAAAAATTTAATGGTATATATTATAAATAACACAGTAACTAAAGGTTAATTTAAAATAATGATTCTCTTTTAATAGTATAGATATACAGTTTTTAGAGTCAGATTTTTATAATGATTTCATCTAATGTGTTGTCTCTGAAAGACTGAAGTGTTTGGATGTCCATTACAAAACCGTGTTTGTTATGCAAACATTTATTAGTTTTTTACCAAAATAACATTTTGTGGAATATCTTTTGTTCTGTAGCCTAAACAAAATGTATGTTCAAGGTTATCAAACTGCTCGTGTTAAGCAATGTGGTTGAGAAAGATCTTATTCGCTTGCTAAAAAACAATCATGTGGCAATTTTGTTTTGAGGTTTGTGAAACAGCCCAGTATTTACGATGTTCCTAATTAAGATATAGAAATTGATATTGACTATCATATGCTTTTGTGTACGGGCTATGGAATCCTTAACGAAGTACACTACTGCAAATCCCAAAACTCAGCTGGAATTCCTTGGGAAAAAGATAGATTCGAAAAGATAATCCGATTAACTAGGAAAACCATCGTTGATCAAATACGCTGTTTATCTAAAGTCAATATATTGTACACTATTATCCAACAATAACCTAGTAATCAAAAAAAGTATCATGTTAATTCTATAAAAAGTTTGAGCTCAATACCTTTTTAATAGAATTAACATAATAAAATATTTTTTGTCATTCAGATAATAACTTTACTCAGATTTATTATTATTACTTATTATAGAATTAACATAATAAAATAATTGATTTACTTTATTTTATCACACACAGTTGTGAGCTGTGTTGATCTCTGTTTTTCTAACAATGCACTTGCATTCTTCTTCTAAAACCAGACTATTGTCTTTCAGAAAAGCTGTCAAACAACTCAAACCTTTGTGATTTTTGAAATGTATTTTATCAAGTTTTTCTTCG